ATGACCATGGTGAGCTCTGTGTCAGGAGGTCCAAGCAGCTGGGGCAGGAGAGGAGACCAACCCCCACCTCCCCCCCCCCCCCAAAACACAGGGCCTGCCATGCACTGGCATGACCCCACTGATATCAACTGAGGGCACAGGGTGGGCAGTTTGCCTCCAGGCGAGCTGTGGGGTTCTAGCCCATTTATTTGGCGGTGATGTGGAATTGGAGATGTAATACCAAGGGTGGCTTCTGGATGCAAACTCTATAGAACTCTCTGTGTAAGGCAGGATCTGTTCTCTCTGCAGGGCAAAGCAAATGGGGACCTGACTGACGTAGTTGGGTTGATCCAACTTTTTAGTATAGCTCAGGCCTAACACAGCCCCCTGGCTCTGACAGCGCTGATGGCTTTGCACTTTGTCCCCTGCAGCACCCTCTGCCGCTTTCCCTGGGGCGGACACTGCACCGCTGGAGAACAACGTGTACGTCCAGCTGCAGAGGAAGAAGATCCCAGTGGAATGGCTGGATGAAGGGAGACTGGGCAATGAAGGAGCCCAAGAAAGCAAGAAAACCTCTGAAAAGTCCAACTGTCCAGCGGAGGAATTCCCTTGCCCCCTGGATTGGGGGAAAGCACCTCTGAGCCCAGCCTGGCACGACGGCCAGGGACATTGACCTCTCCCAGGGGCAAACTCTACCCACTCCGTCAGCATGCCACAGGGCTGCTTTGTCCGTACAGGGTATGGGCCGTATCGCTCTAGCTGTCCAGGTTATAATCTATTTGTGCTGTGACAGCACCTGCCAGCCCCAGCCAGGATCGGGCCCCATGGTGCCCAGCGCTGTGTGGACTTGCTGCTCCTTGAGGATGTTTTCGAAAGGGTGACTCCATGCTCTGATGGGGCTGCTGCTGTTTTTGCGACTGCGCCGTGAGCCCAGCATGGCCTGGCCTGCACACAGGGCAGTGGGAGGGCACTTCTTGCTATCTGGGGCAGGCCAGGAGTGGGGCACAGGAGGGTGATGAAGATAAATGGACTTTGCTCTGGTTTCACCCTCATTCTGCGGGCGGGACAGTGCCCTGGGGCAGAGCTTCCACTCTCCAGCTGGGATATTGGTCAATGCCGTCAAAACCCAGCGAGAGAGAACTCCAGGGAGAGTCCCATCTCCAGACGAGGAGGCGGTGATCGGCCGTTGGGTGCCCTGCAGCTGCCTGAGCTGACCTACTTCCTGGGCACCTAGCGGGCTCTGGGCTGCCAGCCTGGCACCTTCCACCAGAGCCACATGGGAAACAAGCAAACCGACGTCCGGGGGAAAAAGTTCAGTTGAACTGTAGCAAACCCAGTGCTCTGTGTGTGTAAATAGATGTGCACCACCACCCCCTACGCGTGTTTGTGTCTCCATTTATACACTTGCAATAACTAGGAATATTCTTCACTCTGTTCTACCTGGACAAAATCTGCATGTGAGGTTCCAAGTTGCTGGCGAACAATGGGACTGGTTCAGCCCCTTATTTCTGAGTGGGTCAGCTCCGCTCCCTGCCCTGTCCTGGTCTCTTCCCTGGTGCGGGGGGGGGTTAGAACCCTGCCCCAGTGCACTGCCCGAGGCCTCTGGCTCTCCCTCCAGGCTCCTTCGATAGATGTTTGACACCCCCACGTGCAGTGACCTGAGAGGGGCTCGCTCCATTCCTGGAGAGAAAGGGGGACCACTCGCTGTGCTTAGCGTGGGCTCTGGCACGTGGGCCAATGCAGCAAAAGTTACTGTATGCTGCAGTCGTTTGTTTCACATTGCCACCCCACTCGTTTTCTGTTGGTGAGGCAGAATAACCGGAGCGAGGGGCTTAAATATGCCAACAAATTTTTATTGAAGTTGAAACAAATATAAGGCTGTAAGTAATGACTAAGGGCCTGTTATGTCAGCGCTAATGGTGCCCCAGACAGGAATGCCTGGGGTTATTCAGTGTAGTTGGGAGACTTCATGCTACACAAGCAATTGATCTACTTCGTGATTTAGTATATAATAATCCTGTACTTCAGTGAATAATCTGATACTTCAGGTGCATTCTCTCTGGCAGGGTCACGAGGCACTTTACAAACTATACACGGTGTTCAGCCCCCCACCTTGTGTGTGTGTGCACACGCGCACACTTCCCTGTTCATGTCTCACCCTTTTGCTAACCTGATTTCAGGGTGAGTCTCATGCTATTTGGTGTTTGTCTTGAAGCCCCGGCGCTGGGAGTCCTGTCACTACATGAGACTCTCAGCTCTCGTTTAACAAGAGAGAGCTTCTAGCCTTCATGGTTGCAAAGAAAAGCTTGAAAATGTGACCCAAGTGCAACCTAAAGGCTTAGACACTTGAAGGCAAAGAAAACAAAACCCAACCCCAAATCTCACAACTTTTAAGCCAATCTCATGATTTTGGGGGCCCAATTTGTGACTTTTGACTGCGTGGGCCTGGCATCGCTGTCTGATGTTGCCAGCATGTCAGTTCATGGCCATTTCCCTGCCTGCCGCGCTGAGCAATGGACTGTTTCCAGCATAAGGGCAAGGAAGGAGGTACTGAGCAAAGCTGGGAGCCTGATCCTGCACGAGTGCTGCTGTCCACCGAGTCCTGCCTGGCAGGAGGGAACAGGGAGCTGTGCACCTCGTTAGCCTGACAGGAGCCTGCTCCTCAGACACACGTGCTCCCTGTCTTCTTTATTCCTCAGCTCCTGTGGTTTGACCTCTCCCCTGCTCAGTGAAGGTGGACTCTGTTCAGATGGCCTTAACCTGTTCCCCTTGTTGACACAATATGGTTCAGGAGGTGGCTTTGATCTCTGTGTAGTAGGGAACACATGGATAAGGGATCACCCTCCCACATCCTGGGGACCAGGACCTCTGTGCTCCCCATCATCAATTCCCTCCCCATCTGTACTCATTTGCCCTTGGGTGTTAGATTAGATCCCATTCCCTCATCCCCCTCAACAGTGAATTCAGTGCTGGTGAAAAACCGAGGGGCTGGCAGGGTGGGCTAGTTCCAGGTATGATGGGAGCAGATGCTGGGTGAATGTCCCTATGCTGCTCCCTACCAAGGGAGCAAATGTCTCAGTGGAGCATCAAGACTCTGGAGAGCCCGTCAGCCTGGCTGAGGTTGAGGTGCAGGGTCAGTCTGGGACATGCCGCTAGGAACACCTTGCAGCCATTTAGGTTGGATGCTCGCCCTGTTCCTGAGCCCTCACTACCTGCCCCTTCTGCACCGGCTGGGAAGAACAGCAGTGAGTGTCATGCTGCCTGGGATGGGGGAAGTGAGCGCACATCCTTTGCTGCAGCCAAAGCCATTCTCAGAGGCCACGTGGTGCTGTGAATTACCTCTGTCTGGGCTGAGCCTGGTCTCAGCACTGCCCGGAGTCTGCTGCATGCGGAGAGCCAGAGCAGGCTGTGCTCGGCCGGAGAGAAAGGCCAGAGGTGGGCAAGCTCCATCCACGCTGGCTAGAGGAGAATTCTGCCCCCCGAGCCTAGGAGAGGGACTCATTGCTGCATGGCCTGTCAGTGAGGCAGCCCCAGACGGGTGTAGCTGATGGTCCCCGGGGTGGGTGATGAACAGAGTTCAGGTGTGGGCTTGGGCCACAGGAAGTGTGATGCAGGTGGCACGAACCTAACTGAGCCGCTAGAGCAGGAGCCCTACACAGGTGAGGCCCAGGACTGTAATAGGAAGGGCGGTGCTAGTCAGCACTGGGGCACGGGCAGAGCAGCGTGTGGCGAGCTTGCGTGGTGATGGCAGCTTCGTTCTCTGGCTGGGCTGCGCTTTCCCCAGCGCTCTGCAGAACAGGGCTCTGAGTCCCAGGCTGGGTCCTGGCTGCGGGAGAGCTGAGTTCCACATGTGCTTCAGTCTCCACTAGGCGGTGAGAGATTTACCTGGCAGGTCTTCGTGCCAGTGGGTGGCGATCGCGGCGCTCAAGTTCCTCTCCAGTCCTTAGCGAAGGGAACTGCATTAGCCGCACAACTTTCTTCCAGGAAAGCTGCCCCTGCCCCTGCCTCTGCCCACACCAGGGAAACTCCCCTGGGCCTCCCACTCTTAGTAAGAGCCCATCCCATGGCTCTGCTCCAGAGATGGCTGCATTGCCTTTGCTGGCCGCTAGGGCCTGTGTCCAGTGGTTTATTGGCTCCTGGGACGGGAGTGCCCAGGGAGTTAGCAGCTGGGTGTGGAAATGGTAATGACGGTGGGAGCTCATTTGGTGGTTTGCAGCCTAGGGCCTGGATGTCACAGCCTTAAAATGGGGAAGGGGAGCCGCTGGCTCAGCAAAGAGCACGTTTCCTTCTCCAGCTTTTAGCCAAAACTTTTGTGGGAAAACAAAGAAGGGAAACCCTAGCCTGGCCCTGACCCAGGCCCGTCAGAGGTTTGCCCTACCAAGGGTCTTCTTCTCACCCCACTGCCAAGCAGCTGTTATTCCAGAGCTCCGGGGTTCCCCTGGAAAGTGTGATTGGCAATCAGTCCCTTGCCACTCTCCTGCCTCCAACCCAACACACCTGCACGAGGTCTGGCAGGAAGTAACTCTCTGCTGTAGGGAAGCCAAGCAGGGCTTGGGAAGCTGCGAGATAACACCTGAAGGTAACTGAGAGCCCACACAACATAAGGAATAGAGGGCAGGCCCGCTGGGGGTTAAACTGAGCCCGAACACAGGCTGCATCGCTCAGGTATGTGCTTTGCTAACATGTGATAGTCCCCAGAGCACCCCGGGAGTCTCTGTAGGAGAAATAAACCCTGCGTATTACTTAGTCCAGAAGGTGAAGAGAGACTAACAGTCTGCAATAATACAGCCCTTCCTGCCCTCATCACAGGCACTAACTGGCTCAAGAGGAAACCCACTCCGCTCTTTGATAAGGTGGCAATTTTAAACAGGATCAGGCACCAGAACCCCATCCCAGAGTGCAAAGTAGGAGAGAAGCTGAGAGCATGTTTCTTTGCTTCTGAGGAAATTTTGAGGCCCTCCCATGTCCTTTGATGAAATCCACCAACCATAAAATTTACTGCCTTTTTTTTTTTTGATAGCAGCACCCCTCCAGCCGGCCATATTGGAGGTTGGGAAATAAAGCAGCTCTAAAATGATGTGTGTCTTGGAAGTAACCCAGTGCACCTGAAAAAGACAAAGCCAAACAACAGCAACAAAAACCAGCCACAATAAACACCAAAATCTTCGCCATACACAAAGGTGCTTGAAAATGAGCAAGGAGCCTTGGGTTCTCCGGCCCACCTTGTGCCTCACTGGGCTCAGCTTGCTTGTCTCTCTGGGTAAGTTTCTACTGCACATCTTGCATGCAGGCATCCGACAGGGACCCAGCAGCCCACAGCTGGGGAGCACCATCCTCATTAATGCAGCTTCATCACCCCCCAGCATAATCCTGGGGAAGGGACGCGGTGAGAGCATGAGGGACGGCGGGTCTGGCTGCTGCTGATGTGGGAACTGGGGACAGAGAGTGGCTAATGTGCAGTTTTTGTTGATGTTACAGATGAGACAGTAACCTGTCTGCAAAGTCGGCTCCGGGCTTGCGTCTGCATCTCTAAGCTAGCCCGTGTAGCTTTCTGCAGTCTCTCCAAGTGCGCCTGCTGCAGGTGCAATAGTGTCTGGCACAGGTGGAACAGCTGGGGTTGTTGCTCCTTTGCTCAGATCCGGCAGATTGAGAAGCAAAGTGTCTAACGTGTGTGGTGTGTGTTTCAATGCATTCGAGGGGCTGCCCTCATTTTGTTGGATGCTGGTGGGGAGCAGGGTGTGTGGCGTGCTGGGCTGTTGGTCTCCGTTGCTTGCCTTTCTGCCCTGCCATGGAGCCAGGAATGTGTGTCAGCAGCTTTTTGTTTGTATTGATTCCCTGCAAGCAGGAGACTGTCAGATTAAAACATAAGTAGTGTTCTGGGGGGCAGGGGCGTTGCTCTCAGACAGACTGGGAAATGGAGGAGAAAAATGACAGCAACTCCCCATCTTCAACGACTAGGAATCCTGCCTGTCGTTTGCTTTGGAGAGGCTGCGTGTAATGCCGCCTCCCAAGACTGGGGGAAAGGGGTGTAAGGGGACAGGGCATATGGGACAGTGTGGAGATCCGGGAAGGAAGCAGTCCAAAGCTATCAGCAGCAGGGAATCAATGGACTCTGCATTAGCAGGGCTTCCGGCAGTGCCCACCAGCTCTGGGGAAGAAGCCTATGTTCCACGCTCTGATGTGTGCATGGGGAGGAATACAAGCGTTTACACTGAGGAGCTGAATGTGCCACGTGTGTCGTCCCCTGTATCCTCTCCCAGGAGCCCTTAGCTGTGACACTGTCAGACCTCAGCCAGGTGACTAGCGCGGCTGTCACAGCCCCCTCTGCTGACTTCACCGAGAGAGCCCCAAAGGAGACTCGGTATGGTGTCCTCTCTCCCCCGGTCCTGGGGGTAGGGGGTCATTGGAGGTCGTTCCTCTGAGAACCCCGTGGCCTGACGTGCCCAGAGACCTGTGGAGCAAAGCATGGGACAGGGCTCCATGTCCCAGCAGGGCAGGTTGCCCTCAGAGTTATCGGACGGGGAAAGGCAGTCTCAGTTTAGGATTCTCATCCCCATCGCTGAGTGACGGTGTTCACAGGCTGGTTAGGGCGTCAGGCTGGGCCCACATGTGCTGAGTCTGCAGCCGTAGCCTGGCCAGAGCCTACAGCGCTGAATGCACCTGGCAAGGTTTTTTCTGACTGGGCCTAAGCTCACGTTGCAACACTGCCCAAGCCCCTGGGCAGGTCAGCTCACGGCGCCCCGTAGAGCTGAGTTGGGAAGACGCCTGTCTGACAACTGCTGGAGTGGCTGCTGGAGTAGCTGGAGCAGTGCAGGATGCTCTGTGCTCAGGTGCTGTACTTACCATCTCCAGCTTCCCCCTCCCAGTCAACATGGATCCCCTGGGCCTCGTGCGAGGGATTCTTTCCTCCCTCCCTCTCTCCAAGAGGCTGGGCTGAGGCTCTTCCCACAGCCTGGCAATCAGCCAGCAGGAATCACTCCCCAGGGCATGTTTCCTGCCCGGGCTGGCTTTCCCCAGCACTCACCATGGTGTTCTCTGAGCATCCCTCTGGCAGCACGGCTTGTCGCAGCAGCCCTGACTTGGACTGGCCCGGGCTGGGTTTGTACGTGGTGTGTGCTGTAGGGTATTTAGCTCCGGAACTGCTATGGCTTCAATTTTTGCATACGGCACCTTTAAATCTTTAAAAGCGCCATCTGCAGAAGCAGGAACCATTTCCAAAGGCTCTGGCTCAGAGGAGACTGCCCGCTCCATGGCGCTCAGCTCTTTCAGATCTCCCTTTCGCTGCAGTCCGTCAGCTCTAGGTCTTCTCTTCACATGTGGGATTGAGGTGCCAGGGCTCAGGTTTGGATCTCGCTTTTCTAAACTCCGTTCGAAGGAGCTTCTCAGCCTTCCCCAGAGCAGTAACCTGGAAGGATGCTACAGGGCTGCCGATTTGGTATCTCATAGTGATCAAATGTGCTCATTTTACAAGACAAAAGGTTTTCTAGCTGCCACTGCTGCAAAACCCAGCTGTGCGCCTGCCTCTCCCCCCAGCACCAGAAACTAACTGGAAGGGAACAAATTAGCTGGCTCAGCTACAACAGTATCTCGGTCAGCAAGTTCCCGCCACACCCACACGGTGTCATTGTGAGAGTTCAGCGACAGCAACGTTTAGCACAGCAGTCGAAGCCGGGATGGTCCCGCATTGTCAGAAAGGCCCTGCTCAGCCTAGGCAAGCCAGCTGTCTGCTACCCACATGCAGCCCGCTTCCATGAACCCTGGCCTGTTTCTGGGTTCCAAAGACGACTCTTAGTGATGCTGCCCTAGCCCCGTGTGAGGTCAGGTGGGGCCCCCAGCCCTGTGGGCCGTGGCAGCCCGTGGGGGGTGTTGATGGGGGAGGCTGCAGAAACCCAGCTTTTTGTGTGGCTGAGCTGGGCACCCCCCTGCTGAGCACAGCCCAGGGGGGCCAAGGCACCTTGGCAGACACGCCTGGCAAAAGCCTGAAGCTGCAGGTGCTGAGCGGCTCCTGTCCTGCACCAGCCAGAAATGCCGTGAGTCAGACCCTCCTGCTGGGGCTATGTCCTGGGGGAAGGGGCCCCTGCTTCTTCTTGCACAGGGTCTCCAACTCCCCAGCTGTGATGGAGTGCTGATCCGGCTGCCTCAAGCATTGCAAATGCGGGGGGGGGGGGCATATGAATCTGGTGCTGGCTCGGCCGTGCTTGCATGTCAGTCTCCATAGAGCAGGTCTCTGCTGCAGTCGGGAAGGGGAGCTTGAGCCTGGTGGCCCGTTCAGCCTTGGGCCTCTGCTAAGTGGGTTGGGGGTGTGTTTCTGTGACCCAGATGCTGAACCACAACCCACCTGCTCATTACACCAAACCCCGCCCATTGCGCACTGCACTGGGGTGTGCTGCCCAGTGGGAAAGGCTCATGCCCTCCCCCACATTTTCGCTCCTTGGCCCCTTTCCTGCAGCCTCTTACCCTCTGCTTAACTTCTCAGTGTTCATGTAGCTTATCCTGGTGGGAACGCTGCCAGCTGGGCTCTGCCCCACAGCATAGCCGGGCTCGCTCCCCAACCAGAGCTGAGAGCAGAGAGAGGGGGATCCACCTGGTCCCAGAGCCATCAGATGGCATCAGCCCCTGGTTGCTCCCAGCACAGCCTTGGACCTGCAGGTGTTCTGGGGAATTCAGTGGGGATCCTGCCCTTACAGGCCTGGCAGGGGGAGCCTTAGAGCAGGACGGGCAGGGAGAGTCAGAAAGGAGGAGTGAGTGAGCAGAGGGGAGACACGCAGATCTGGCCCTGCTGTGAGCAGCATGAGCCACTGTGGTCTCTGCTCTCCCCAGTCCTGGATTTGGCCAACAGAGTGGGTGGGACTCTGTCCAGGTGGGGCTTGGCAAGGCGATGGGGTGGGGGGCGCAGGGAGAGGGGGAGGTGTAAGGGTGTAGGGAGCAGGAGGCAGAGGGAGCTCCATGTCATGCTGCCCCAGGGCTAGTTTTCTGCCCCCTGAGCTGTGTGTGTTAATCTCTCCATTTCTGCACTGCAGCGTGGGCTCCACGGCAGAAACCAGCTCTGTCCCCTCTTTGCCTGCAGGAGCATCTGGCAGCTCGGCCTCGTTACTGCCAGCCTGAGAGTGTTGCTCAAACACCAGCTAAGGGGGGAAATGAAGTGAATCTGCATTTTCCCCACAGCCCCCAGAGGCCAGCGCTGGCAGGGCTGGTCACTCGTCCAGTGCGTCCTGCCTGGAATGAAATCTGATGAGCATAGCCATAAATTTCCCCAGCAGATGTGGCACTGAGCCCTGCATAACTGATGCTGCATCCAGGCCTCTGCATAGCTCATTCAGGCCTCTGCATCACAAACCTGATTTAAGTGGCCGTGAAAAGAGTTCACCTGAAGTCAGTGCTGAGTGGGGAAGGGCCAGGAGAGATCACAACGCCTGCAGTGCAGTTGGGGGGCAGCAGGGCAGTGGTGCATGGGGCTGAGACAGGTTGCTAAACCAGGCAAGAGGCTTGGATTCAAATCCCATGTAGGTGGGTTATCCCACTATCCCATACACACAGCCTCTCTCTAGCCAAGGACTAAGGCAGGTCCTTTCAGGTCAGCTCTCCCTATGGGGCAGACAGGCCAGTCTGGGATCAAGCTGTGTCTGTCCTTTGTGTCCGAGTCATCGGGTCCGTTATTACCCTGCCACTGGCGAGGGGAGAGCTGAGAGGTCAGTGCAATGCTGTGGGCTGATTAGCGTCCCTTGGAAAAGCCCCTTTTCCTATGACTGTGTGTTCTGGGTACCTGCCGGTCTCTCCGCCCCCCGGGCAGTTCTGCCAGCAGGCCAGGCCCACAGCACCCAAGGGGTGGGACAGACTTTAGTGCTTGCAATTTTCAGTGTTTGTTTACTTCTTCCTTTCCTCTCCTCCCTCCTGTTTCGTTCCTGTCTTCTGCCCAGCACCCTGTGGGCTGGGCATGGAGATCACGGCACAATCTACCGTCAGTGCCTTGAATGGCACATCCGTGCGTCTCCCCTGCACCTTCAACTCCTGCTACAAAGTGGAGAACAAACAGTTCTCCCTGAACTGGACATACCAGAGATGTGAGAAGTGCAGCGAGCAGCTGGTAAGTACCTCCTGCAGGGGGTTGTGGGCCCAGCCCTGAACTGTCAAACATCATGAGCCAGGCCCCTCAAAATCATGACATTGGCTTAAAATCATCAGATTTACCAAAGTACTAACTTGGGGCTCTCATCTGCTTTCGGAGCCGGCAGGGTCTTGTTTTCAAACTTTTCTCTGTACCAGGTGGGCTGGGAACTTCCTGCCTTAAAAAAAGAGAAAGAAAGCTGAGATTCTCCTGCCCTGGCGACTCCAGGAGCTGGGCTTTAAGGAAAACCCCAAATGTCACTTGGCTTGCTATAAAATTTCAAGAGCTGGCGACACAGATTCAAGTCCCACAACCCTGTTTGTGGGTCCCACTCTGAGGCCATGTCTCAGGGTGTGCTTGGGGGAAGCTCCAGTGACTTTGCAGGTAAAACGCTGCAGCTCTGTCCTGTGTAGATGCTGTCTGCGCTGACAGGAGGTGTTCTCCCTGAGAGGCAGCAGCCAGGTTGATGGAAGAATTCTTCTGTTGCCCTCGCGCTGTCTACACCAGGGTCAGGTCGATGTAGCTACGTCTCTCGTGGGGGGAGGGGTGGAGATTTTCACACCACTTAGAGACGTGGCTATGCTGATGTCAGTTCCTAGTGTAGTCCAGGCCTGAGTAAGGACTGAGTAGAAAGAGAGCAAGGCCCCAGGCTTTGGTCCTGAGCGCGTTCCCGGGGGATAAAGGGGAAGGAGGGACACACTGAGTGGGGGAAGGTGTGGGAGGACGGGGATTGCTGATCCAGTACTGGGTCTATCCAGGTACCCAGATCCCACTCCCGTATGAATATTAAAGCCCTCTGTGTCTGGAGGGAATGTCCCATTTCCCGGGAGGTGGCCACTGCTCAGCCTAGCCACATGTAAGTGGGAGTGGGAGGGACTAGCTGGAAACGAGGCAGAAGAGGGCAGAGATGAAGGACTCTGTCCAGGTGCTGAGTGGCTGGCTGGACCCTTGGTTTGCTTAAACTTTCCTGCTATGGCTGAGGCAAAGCCCAGGCAGAAAACAGCCATGAGTGACCAATGCCCTGGCCCCAGCTGGCAGCCTTGCTCCCAGTGCCCTGACTCAGGGTGGCCACTCTCAGCCCGTGATACCAAAGGAATCCCTCCTGTTCCCGCTGGCAGGCCCAGGACCCTGTAGCTCTCGGGGGAGCTGTGTGATTGTCCCAGGGCAGGGTGATCCCAGTGACGCCAGGGGAGCCATGCTCTGTGTGGCGTGTGCCTCGGGGAAAGGAGGAGAGGTACTGTGGTCTCTGACTGGCCCCCCAGGTCTGGCCAGCTGAGCTCTGTGGGCACCAGCATGGGTGTAGCACCCCCTGCATTCTCACTGCCCTGTCCCCGTCTCTGCCCAGTTCCTGCAGTTCCGGATGAAGATTGTGCACTGGCGGCTGGATCACTTCGGGAATAGGGTGGAGTTCACCGGAAACCCCAGCAAGAACGACGTGTCCTTCACCCTCCACCAGGTGCAGCTGGAGGATGAGGGCACCTACAACTGCTACGTGATGAACCTGCCTGACAGGCACCGGGGCCATGCCCGCATCTTCCTCAAGGTCATCACCGAAGGTGGGTGCGCAGCTGGCCTTGGCCCGGCTCGACAGGAGAGGGCCGCGGGGGGGGGGCTGCTGTTTTATATTGAACAATGGGGGAGACAGCAGAGGCCAGAGCTGGCACAGTGTAAGCAGCTGCCCTGCCCCTCCGTCCCAGCCCGCATCCCACAGTGGCTCCAGCTCGCCAGGCTGATGGGAAGTTTCAGTGGGGACTCGGGCTCGTTTGGCTGGTGACTGTCCCCAGGGTGGCCAGGAAGTGAACCCCAGCGCTGTCCCTCCTCAGACAGGTTTCAGAGTAGCAGCCGTGTTGTCTGTATTCGCAAAAAGAAAAGGAGGACTGGTGGCACCTTAGAGACTAACCAATTTATTTGAGCCTAAGCTTTCGTGAGCTACAGCTGATGCACTCCTCAGACAGTTACTTCAGGGTCTCCAACCAAGGAAACCACCCAACGCCCCCATCCTAGCATCAGCTGGCTGTGGGGCTGGTCCCAGTGTGCCCTCCCCTCACAGGCCATGGGCAGTGCCAGCCATGGCCCGTGTGATTAATGTGGCTACATAGGGGCTTGCTCCTCCTAGCTCCAGGCCATGCTTCTCAGCACATCCCTGATTCCCACCCATGGCCTGTCTGTGTGTGGGGCCCTGCATAAGTTTCCTCCCATCAGACCCCACATAAGGTAGGGCAGGGCCTGGATTTGCCAACGTGGTCCCATTGGTGCTGGCAGGAGCTGCCTGGTTTCCCTGCTGCTCAGACTCCCTCGTCCCCCCGGCCTCTCTCCTCATCTGCCCCTTTCTATCTCTGCAGTGCCCCCAGAGCGCGACTCCACGGTGGCTGTTATCGTGGGGGCCTCGGTGGGGGGCTTCCTGGCCGTGGTGATCCTGGTGCTGGTAATCGTCAAGTGCGTGCGGAGGAAAAAGCAGCAGAAACTGAACACAGATGACCAGAAAACAGAGGAGGAAGGGAAGACAGATGGTGAAGGGAACCCTGAGGAGGGCACCAAGTAATGGCCCCCTTTCCTTTCCCCCTGTACAGTGTGACCCCTCGTGTGCTTCTCCAGAGCACGGATTTCAGACTCCCCAGAATTACTGAGCATCCCTCATCTATGTAACCAGCCCCGACCCCCAGGAATCCAGGCTTCAGTGGGGCCTGGGGAGAAGACTGCTGCACGCCTGGCCTGGGCTAGGGCTGGGTGGAGGTGGGTGAATCACCTGAGCCTAATGCACCTGTCTCCTGCACCAGGCTGCCGCCTGCTCCCACCCACCTCTCCCTATGAGCCAGGAAGAGCCCTGAGTGCCAGGGCGCTGCCCAGGGCGGGGGCTGGAGCAATCCAGAGGCTGTGGCTGAGAGGGAGGGAGATGGAGCTAGGGGAGAGGGAGGCAGGACCTCCCCGGAGAACCGTGCAGGCGGGGAGTGAGCAATGGCTTTGGCGAGGGAGAGAGGGCTGCAGCCTCTCAGCGTGATGGGCAATGGAGCTGGGGAGGGGGGTCCAGCAAGCCCTTCTGCCCTAGGCTCTGGCACTGGTCTGAGACATTAGTGTGCTGGCCAGGGGGGAGACTCCTATGAAGGCCAGAGGGTTCTCCTGTGCCTCCTATTCATGGCAGAGCCTCGAGCACAGGGGACCCTTTGCTATGTCAAGTAATCTGATCGATCTCCCTGGAACCCCTCGAGCTCCGTCACCACGGGCCAGTCTCCTCCCCAGGCCCTTCTGACCTGCTCCCATCCACAAAGGCAGCCGGCTCCTATCCAAACTTTGTAATGGGCATTAACAGGGCACCAGCGTTACGGGAAGGCAGGGGGGGCAGGGACACGGGGCAGAGGGCGTAGCACCAATGTTGGGCAGGGGGATCGGGGGTGGTGGGCGTAGCACCTCTGTCGGGAGGGAGGGTGGTGGGTGCCTCTGTCGGGCAGGGGGACGGGACGTTGACAATTCAGTGGAGGCGCCTGTGTTTTCTAGCTGGTTATTTTCTCATCCTTGGCGGGGATTGACACAGTCTAATTTGTTGCCTCGTCTCCATCCTGGCCAAGCCATGTAAAGGAGAGCAGGGAAGTGTGGGCGTGGGACAGTTCGGCATGTGGTACTGCAGGCTGGTCCCAGGCACCTCTTGCTAACTGCCATGAGGCCTTGGCATTGGGACAGTCCTGTCCCCCAGGGACTCCTTGCCGCCTCCTCCTTTTAGCCAGCAACTCCCTCTTGGAAGCAAATGGGCAACTCTGGGCAAATGCCAGCTCTGATTCTTGTGCCCCAGGAAATGAATTCTGAGCAAGACTTGCCTTCAGTGCCCTGCGCTGGTGGGCGAAGAGCCATTGCCAAGAATATAGTAACTGCAGAAGCCCCCTGCAGAGAGATCTTTCCGCTGCTAAACAGAGCCATGGAAGCATTACAGACAGGGACCTCTGGGGGGGGGGGTGTCCATTTTCTTCTCCTCCGCTCTCCCTCTCCCTCCCCCCCCGAATTGCAAATGTAAGCCTGCTCCTGGCTTCCCTCGTAGGTGAACAGAGAGTCTGGGCTGCCCCCAGGGAGGGAGTGGGATTGCGCTAGGGGTGTGATTGGAGACTAGTGTCCCCAGGCTGTGCACTGGCAGGGGGTTCGTGTTTTAAACATTCATGTGATAGGCAGGGGAGGGCCTGGCTTGGGTCCCTCAGGCTGTGAGTGCCAGAGCTGGCCACAGGGGGCTTACCCCAGGGATACAGACCTGACTACCTGGAGCCCCAGTGAAGTCTCTTTATGCGCAGACCCTTCTGAGCACAGTGGCTCTGCAGCATGCTGGCCTGGGGCTGTTTCTGGTAGAGGGAGAAAGGCAACCATGCCAGGGTCCACAGGGCAGCTGGGTTAACATTTGGCCTTGGAGAAGAGGGGAGCCGTATCTTTGTCTGCGTTCATGCTTGTTACCAGCCCTTCACAGACTATCCAGCATTCCAGGGCTGGCCCCTGAGCCTGCAACTGATTTTCCATGGGCCGGATCCCAAGGGCCTGATTCTCTGCCTGCGCAAGGACTGGAAACGATGCTGTCGGGCTCTGGGTTTATGTTTCCCAGGCAGAAATACTGACCCATTTTGTTTGCAGTCAGTGCGTGGAGAGGACTCTGCAGGGGTTGGCATGGGCTGAGCATGGGCCAGGGAGCCTGGAACTCCGGCATGGCAACCCTGGCTCTGGCAGATGCCCTCTGTAGCCCTGGGGCAGGCGTTACTTCCCCTCTCTCTCCCTCAGCTTCCCTGTCTGTTACAATGGGGTAACAGCCCTGCCTCCCCGGGGGCTGTGGGGCCCAGTCACCACTCCCTGCTGCGAAGCGGGGAACGCGGGGCTCACACTGTCGACACATTTACTCCTCTTGTTAATGTCACCTGAACACGCTGCCATGGACTGTGCCTTTGCCTTGCCTTTTCCTGCAGGGAGATACAGTGCGAGAAGCAGAGGCTTTCTGGGAGGTGGCTCTGAGCTGCAGTAGCTATGGGGCTGTGTTGTCCCCAGTCATTGCTAGCTAGATGATGCCCATCAGCCCGTGCACTGGTGCTGAACGCTGCTGCTTTGGAGTGGCTTGCTGCAAGGCCTGCTCAGCATGGTGGTGGAAGTGTGTAGCCATGTGTGTCCGAGTCCATATTTGGGCCCAGGCAGCTGAGCCAAAGTTGCTGGCTTTGTTACATTTCCCAGGGTGGGTACTTGTGATGGAAAATCTCATGCTGATGCCTGTAAAATTGAACTTGCTGAGTGGGGTGGGGGCGGGGGGACTCTGTGGGCTGCCGTTGGGAAGGTTTCCGGGGCAACAGTGGGGCCAGGGTGGGGCTGGCCTCTGCTTTCCTTGAGCAACAATGTGATGTAAAACCTGCCTCTTCCAAACTTCCTTAGGAGCAAAGGACAACGTGCTACTGCCAAGTCAATACACTGCCAGTCAGCCCAGCGGGGCGGCATCCTTGCAGGTCCCTTGGGAACCTGCCCTGCTCTGCTTTCCCTGCCTACTTCTGCAAGTGGGGGGTGCTCGGTCTCAGCCCTCAGGATTTCTACGGCTTGCTGGGACGGAGCCTGTTCCTCTTCCCTGCGCTGTGCACAGGGGCTCCACAGCAGCCCAGCCCAGCTAGGGGAGTTTGCTGGGGGGGCTGTTTGTTTATTAAAGACCTTACATACCCACTGGCCAGGATAGCATGGGTGCTGTGAATGGGCAGATTCACTTCCACAGGGGGCTCTGGCTGGGTCCCAACCTTCTGTGCACCATTCTAAGTGCATTGGATTGCGGGAGGTAATGTGGGCTAGAGCAGGGGCTGAGGGGGACCAGAACTCCTGGGCTCTGTGTCTGGCTCTGCCGCTCTCCCGGGTACCGTGGGTCTCAAAGGGGGATTAGGAGGCCTGCCTCACAGGGGTAGTTGGGGGCTGCATCCTGATTGTGTGCGAAGCTCCTGGGACCCCTCGATGAGAGGGGCTAGAGAACGGCAGCGTTGGAGCAGTTGTCTGAGGATAACAATGGAACCAGGAGATTGGAACTCCAGGCTGTTAGCGATGCTAGACACAAGTGTGAGGAACTGGCCCAGGAGCTCTCCCCCTGCCAGCTCAGACCATGGGGGGACCTGTCTTTTCATTTGAGGGGCCCCTTCTCCTTGCCCACCCAAGTTTATTCCCCTTTAGCTGCCAGTCCCCATCATGCACGCTTGCTCCCTGCCAGGGCGGTAGCAATGCATGGAACCCCCTGGGGCCGCTGCTGCACGAACGGGGACCCATGGTCACTACGCTTCCCTGGGGCAGGGGCTGGAGGGAGCTCAGAGCTCCTTTAGGGGGCTCTGCAGTGCCACCCACATAGCCCTTGGCCTCAACTCTTTGCCCTCCGCCAGTGTTCCTGGCACCCCCATCTCTGGAGCCTGGACTTGGTCACAGCGGGTGCTGTATCCGTGCTGCAGGAGATGCTGTTGCACCCAGGAAATGAAGGGACAGAGATGTATTTGCAGTGGGGAAGCCACCTCCTAAAAGCCTGTGTCCATTTCCTGGCTCTGAACCCTCATGGCTTTCCAGCGGGGATTTTGCATTTCCTCTCTCTGTCCCCGTGCTCTGCCTTGCTATGCATCAGTTGTGTACAGTCTGAAGGCGCTATTTATCTCCAGACTTTTGTGTGGCTTCCCAATCTCTGTGGGGCTTCCACTGCCACACAACCACCCAAGTCTCATAATCTCTCATCCAGTTAAAAAGGCACACAGAGGAGAGCCAGCTGGATGGCAGGTTCTCTTAGGACCGGCGCCTGCTCCAAATTTGGGACGAGAGGCTCCTCCTGGGCCAGAGAGTGACTCTTTTGTGGCCAAAGATCTTTGACTTTGGAAGACATCTCACTACTGACCTTGTTTCTGCCTTTTATTTCCTGCACACATTGTCCTTGGATTGCAATTTGCCAGTGAGTTTGTACAGAATACACAGTGTAGGTCTAGTATAAATATATACTCATGAAGGCATTGTTACAGGTAGTGTGTCTTTCATTTTGGTTTTGTTTCTTCTGATCTAGTTGGCCAGATCTGATGATGATCTCACCAAAGCCTGCGTGCAGAACGTTTCTGTTGCTCTTTGTACATTTCAAAGCAAAATAAACTCCACCCCACAAATATCCGACTCTGCCCTGAACATTTTTGGCTGCTGTTTGTTGGGGGGTGGGGGTGTGTGTTTGCCACTGTCTCTGATGATGCTTTGACCCAGATGAGCCGGCTCAGCCTGAGCCTTCAACATTACTGTCTGGCTACAGGAATAAAAACAAAATACACACTTGTCTCCTGACAGTGTGTGGCTGGTCTCCTTCTGTGGGATGTGGGTTGCCAAGGGAAGAGAGAGGCCTGGGTAGTTCATATGTCTACACTTAGGAGTTCCTTAACAACAAGGCCCAGAGACATGATGGAGAGGGACGTATGTAGGGAGTTGCTTGCACCATCTGACAGTCACATGTCGGGGTTTAAATGGCATTTCACTGGTGCCTAGGCCTGTGGCTGCCCCTCTGCATGATGGGTGAACCTCATCCTAAGCCCCAACGTCTTGTCCCTGGAGGCACAAGGGCCTCAGTTCAGCAAAGTGCTTAAGCACATGCCTAACGTTAAGCATGTGCTTAGGTCCATCACTATTCAGCAAAGCGTGAGCTCATATGCTTGCCTTTAAGCATGTCCTTGAATCTCATCGACATCAGTGGGAATTAGGAAGGTGCTTAAAGTAAGTATGGGCTTATGTGCTTTGCTGAGTCAGGGCCTAGACCCAGCAGGTGCAGCGGAGGGACAGAACGAGATGAATTGCCCTCCCTGGCTAGGCCAGGGCAAGCTCTGCTGACTCTCCAAGTCAGCCAGGGGGCCGAAGCTGGAACGCAGGGGACGGGAAGGGAGGCTGCCAGGGCCTGCTGGCTGGTAGCTGTCCCGCTCGTCGTCCCCCCCCCCCCGTTCTGCTCCTGGGGGGCCAGCCTGGGGGGCTGCAGGAACAGGGACGTATTTCATCTGGGGTTTGCCGAGTGCCAGAGCTGAGACCGAGACGCTGGGAGACCCCGAGGAGCTCAGCTGCTTGGGGGGAAGCCAGGTGGGACAGGACATCTCTGGGACCTGGCTCCGATGCGGGAATCCCAACAGGTTATCTCAAGTGCTTATATACAAATGCACAAAGCCTTGGAAACAAGCAGGGAGAACTGGAGGTCCTGGTGATGTCAAGGAACTATGACGTGATTGGAATAACAGAGACTTGGTGGGATAACTCACATGACTGGAGTACTGTCATGGATGGTTATAAACTGTTCAGGAAGGACAGGCAGGGCAGAAAAGGTGGGGGAGTAGCACTGTATGTAAGGGAGCAGTATGACTGCTCAGAGCTCCGGTACGAAACTGCAGAAAAACCTGAGTGTCTCTGGATTAAGTTTAGAAGTGTGTGCAACAAGAGTGATGTAGTGGTGGGAGTCTGCTATAGACCACCGGACCAGGGGGATGAGGTAGATGAGGCTTTCTTCCGGCAGCTCACGGAAGCTACTGGATCACATGCCCTGATTCTCATGGGTGACTTTAATTTTCCTGATATCTGCTGGGAGAGCAATACAGCGGTGCATAGACAATCCAGGAAGTTTTTGGAAAGCGTAGGGGACAATTTCCTGGCGCAAGTGCTAGAGGAGCCAACTAGGGGGGGCGCTTTTCTTGACCTGCTGCTCACAAACCGGGTAGAATTAGTGGGGGAAGCAAAAGTGGATGGGAATCTGGGAGGCAGTGACCATGAGTTGGTTGAGTTCAGGATCCTGACACAGGGAAGAAAGGTAAGCAGCACGATACGGACCCTGGACTTCAGGAAAGCAGACTTCGACTCCCTCAGGGAACGGATGGCCAGGATCCCCTGGGGGACTAACTTGAAGGGGAAAGGAGTCCAGGAGAGCTGGCTGTATTTCAAGGAATCCCTGTTGAGGTTACAGGGACAAACCATCCCGATGAGTCGAAAGAATAGTAAATATGGCAGGCGACCAGCTTGGCTTAATGGTGAAATCTTAGCGGATCTTAAACATAAAAAAGAAGCTTACAAGAAGTGGAAGGTTGGACATATGACCAGGGAAGAGTATAAAAATATTGCTCGGGCATGTAGGAATGTTATCAGGAGGGCCAAATCGCACCTGGAGCTGCAGCTAGCCAGAGATGTCAAGAGTAACAAGAAGGGTTTCTTCAGGTATGTTGGCAACAAGAAGAAAGCCAAGGAATGTGTGGGCCCCTGACTGAATGAGGGAGGCAAACTAGTGACAGAGGATGTGGAAAAAGCTAATGTACTCAATGCTTTTTTTGCCTCTGTTTTCACTAACAAGGTCAGCTCCCAGACTGCTACGCTGGGCATCACAAAATGGGGAAGAGATGGTGTCACGGAGTCCCTGGGCGATGCTCTGGAACTGCTCCCCATGAAGTCAGTCAGGACTCTGGGGTAGTCGCCTTTCTGTGAGCAGACTGTCTTCAGGACACACAGCTCACACAGCTTCCACCTTCCTGGGTCTGACCTCGGAGCATTCAGCATCCTCTGCCTCTCCGTGCGCTTCCCACAGCGAGTCCGCTCAGGCGGGGCTCCTGGGGAAGCCAGAGGGTCCTGCACCCCAACTTCGCAGTCAGACGTGACTCTCAGCCAGCCAGTAAAACAGAAGGTTTATTAGACGACAGGAACATGGTCTAAAACAGAGCTTGCAGGTGCAGAGAACGGGACCCCTCAGCTGGGTCCATTCTGGGGGGCAGTGAGCCAGACAACCACGTCTGCACTTCACTCCATGTCCCAGCCAGCCCCAAACTGAAAACCCCTCCAGCCCCTCCTCCTCTGGGCTTTGTTCCTTTCCCGGGCCAGGAGGTCACCTGATTCCTTTGTTCTCCAACCCTTCAGCTCTCACCTTGCAGGGGGGGAAGGGCCCAGGCCATCAGTTGCCAGGAAACAGGGTGTCGGCCCTTCTCTGTGTCCAGACTCCTGCACACACATGCCCTCTAGGGCACTGCAATGATCATACACCCTTACTCCACCCCCTAGATACTTAAGAACTGCCTAGGGGAAACTGAGGCACCCCCACACTATTCAGAGGAAACATTAAGAACAGTCCCACTTCGTCACATCTCTCCCCCCTTCGAGATCGAACTGAGCGGGGTCACTTTAGCCGGTGACCTGGGGAAGTTCGAAGCCACCAACGTTCCCATGGATGCCCCAGCATCTCTCCCATTCCTTGGTAGGAGTTACACCAGGCCCTTCCAGTTTCACGCCCTCCCTTAGATCAGGGGTGGTCGATAGCACTCGCAGGCCGCATGTGGGAAGGTTTATGCAGCCCCTGCCCTTTGGCCACCCCAAGAATGTCTCCCCATTGACCATCACCTTCTGCTCCCACTGGAGGTCCGGGGGGCCTGGCCCCAGGAAACTCCACACAGACATATAGGTTGGGGTTGGGGTCAGGAGTGGGAGCCTGTCCACATCCCCAACCATCTGGCTGACGGAGTCTGTGGCCTTGGGACCCAGCAAGGGAGCTAGACACCGGGGCTTTTCCGCAGGGTCCCCTTGGTTCAAATCGCCAGCCTGCTCAAAGGCAGTGAGGTGGGCATCCACACCCCCCCCCTCCTTAACCAGGGGCAGCAATTTAGTCTCGAGGTTCCCTGCGGAACTGGCCCCCCGGGATCTATCCCCACTCACCCCGGGGAGGTCCCCTAGGCCTCTCCGCTCCACCTCCGCCAGTTCCTGCTGCTGCTGCTTCTGCAGCTCTTTCTCGGGCTCTCGCTGTCTCCCACGGTCCTCTTGCTCTCTCAGACTCAGCTCCAATCCCGTCCGTCTTGATCCCCCGATGGGGAACCCGATCGTGAAGACCCTCGTCTGGTCGGGGACAGGAGTCTTGGCGATGCCTGGCTCCTGCTTCAGCTGCTCCCAGATCCTGCTATAGCCCCAGTTGGGGTCAGGAATATGTTCCTTAGAGCGGTCATCCTCCTCCAGCTGCACGATTAACTCTGCTTTGGTGAACTTTCCAACGCTCAACCCTCTCTTTTTGCACAGGGTGACAATGTCCTTCTTAAGGAGACAGTGACAGGCCGTCACTCCGCTCCTCCCAAGTTGTTGTGGACTCACAGGCCCATGTGTTCTCAGCTCCCCACGGTTTCCAGGGAGAACCCCTAGTGTGCCAGCCCTTCTCGAGCTCACCACCTCTTTGCCAGGGTCGAGCTGCAGACTCCTCCGCCCCTGAGACTGCTCACTGCAGTCCCCAGGGGGACCCCATTACTGCACAGTACTTCTCGCTGGTCACACACTCCCAGGGGTTAACCGCCCCCCGAAACCGCTCCTTTCTGAGCCTTCAGCAGGCCTGGTCCTCGGCAATCCCCCTTCGTGTTACTGCTCCCCAGTCACTTACTGCAGGAAGCGCCATCCACGGGGTGCAGTACATCCCACCGCTGCCACCAGTTGTCACGGAGTCCCTGGGCGATGCTCTGGAACTGCTCCCCATGAAGTCAGTCAGGACTCTGGGGTAGTCGCCTTTCTGTGAGCAGACTGTCTTCAGGACACACAGCTCACACAGCTTCCACCTTCCTGGGTCTGACCTTGGAGCATTCAGCATCCTCTGCCTCTCCGTGCGCTTCCCACAGCGAGTCCGCTCAGGCGGGGCTCCTGGGGAAGCCAGAGGGTCCTGCACCCCAACTTCGCAGTCAGACGTGACTCTCAGCCAGCCAGTAAAACAGAAGGTTTATTAGACGACAGGAACATGGTCTAAAACAGAGCTTGCAGGTGCAGAGAACGGGACCCCTCAGCTGGGTCCATTCTGGGGGGCAGTGAGCCAGACAACCACGTCTGCACTTCACTCCATGTCCCAGCCAGCCCCAAACTGAAAACCCCTCCAGCCCCTCCTCCTCTGGGCTTTGTTCCTTTCCCGGGCCAGGAGGTCACCTGATTCCTTTGTTCTCCAACCCTTCAGCTCTCACCTTGCAGGGGGGGAAGGGCCCAGGCCATCAGTTGCCAGGAAACAGGGTGTCGGCCCTTCTCTGTGTCCAGACTCCTGCACACACATGCCCTCTAGGGCACTGCAATGATCATACACCCTTACTCCACCCCCTAGATACTTAAGAACTGCCTAGGGGAAACTGAGGCACCCCCACACTATTCAGAGGA